CTAATAGCTCTGACCCTGAACACACAGATATCTATGGGATTAAAGGCGTGTGCCACCACCGCCACACTCTTGCTATGGCTCTAATAGCTCTGACCCCCAGACAACTTTATTTATTAACATACAATCAAATTAATATTTCAGTACAAATCAAAATAATATTTCAATACAATTAGATTACCACCACAATCACCTTTGTGGATTTCATTGCTTATGATGTTCTTGAGAGGAACCAAGTATTTGAACCCAAGTGCTTGGAAGCATTCCCAAACCTGAAGGACTTCATATCTCGCTTTGAGGTGAAACTCCTAATCTTCTTTCTTCTTCAGTGTCCTTCCTTTCCCTGATAGGTCCTTAGTCCTGGAACTATATTAAAAACAGCAGCTGGGTGGCGGTGGTGCACTCCTTTAATCCCAGCACTCAGGAGGCAGAGGCAGGCGGATCTCTGTGAGTTTGAGGCCAGCCTGGTCTACAGAGTTGAGATCCAGGACAGGAACCAAAACTACACAGAGAAATCCTGTCTCAAAAAACCAAAACCAAACCAAACCAAACCAAACCAAACCCAACAAAACAAAAGAAAATAAAAAACCACCAGAGTAGCATTTATTGAGTGCTTGCTTTCTGGCAAGACCTGTGCTCAGCATCTTTTATCTACTGGGTGAAATTGATCATTATGATCGGCTTACAGGGCAGATTGAACTGCGAGTCCCGTTGGATAGATAAGGAAACAGACTATAGAGGGTAAGTCCCTCACTAGCAGAGGTTGCACCAGGGTCTCTTACGTCTGGCCTCTAAGGTCAGCAGCCAGTAGCTGTGTCCCTATTTTGTGCCAAAAGGAAGAGCCTTGGGCTCTTGTGCTGCTCTGGAGAAGGAAGAGCATGGCAGGAGTGTGTAAGCCACAGGCATTCAGAGAGGGAGGCATGGTAGGATTTGTGTGAACTAGCCGTGTGTATACAATACTTACGCCTGATCCTCAGAATGCTTCACCCCATCTGAGTCCATGCCAAACCCCAGGGCTGTTTTTGGGTGCTGGATTTGAGAGTGTATGTGGGCCCTTTTCAGGGTTTTCTTCTCCAGTGTTGCATGGTGTGGGGCTTTCCTTCCCTGTCTTCTTCCCCGGGTCTCCATGAGGCCATTGTGTATTCATCTACTTATTTCCATTCCTATTCACCGGCCTTCTCCTCTATATGAGGCTTAGTGTCAGACCCAATGAGACATGGAAAGAACTCCGTTCAGAGACGGAGTAGCAGAGAGCTATGGACATAACAGACATGGTACCAACTGGGTGCCGGGATCGAGGCTTGGCCCTCACTGCGCAGCCAGTCATGGGTCCCCCAGAGTCTCCTCAGCACCCACAGAATCTGTTCTTTTAGAGACTTGACAACTGCAGGCCACGGAACAACAGGTTTGTAGTCTGGAACCTGCTCCTTATAGCAAGCGATACATCTCAGCTAGTTCTCACCAGTTCTGGCTCTGGTCCCCCACCGTGGCCTTGAAGTGTCTCAGAATGGCGTGCTCATGATAGGGAAGGATAAAAGAGCTGAGGGCTGCAGCCCACGGCCTGCTCCACCTGCCTCCTTGGTAACAGTCAGCTCTAGGTCTCTGAACACTGTAGGAAGTATCCCAGCAGGCTCTCCTGGCAGGATGGAACAAAACACACCCAGCGTCTCTTTGCATGGTCGTCTGTAGCAGGGCTGGATAGGAGGCAGCTTGGGGCACAGTGAGACAGATGGGCCTGAGGTTGCACATAGAACAGGTTGGACCACTACTTTCAGGGGTGATTAGAGCTGCTCAGCACTCCAAGCTGCCCCTCCCCCTTGTGCATTTCATCCAGGGTTTGCCAGGGAGGTCACTGGCCGGGGTCTGGGCTCTCTGTTCTGCTGCACTGGCCTGTTCTGGCCCTCCTTGTCCTGTGACAGGCAGTTTCTGTGTAAACCAGCCAGGAGGGTGTTCCCTGTGAAGAAGGAGCGTGTCTGTGAAGACTGGGGGGTGACGGGGTCTCCTGCGGGAGGACAGGAGGGCACTGGACTGGGCAGAGAGGGCACAGAAAGGGAGCCCTAGAGGCAGCTGACTCAGGCCCTGTCCCGTGGACTAGCTGTGTGAGCAGGAGGAAGCCACCTCACCCCTCTGGACCTCAGCTTTTGCTGACGTGTAGACACAGTGAGACTGATCTTGAAGGATCAAGTGGGTTTTCCGAGCATGAGCATAATCTATATGGGTCCAAAGCCGTCGCTGCAGAGTCTTTGTAGGAAACTGAAGAGTTAGTTCCCTATCCAGAACTCTAATACCAGAGTCTCCGGGAAAAGCTGCTCCTGGCATGGGGCTGCTTATCCCAGGAGCCGCCGGCCTGAGCTCCTGCTTCCTCCTTCTCACTCACAGGGCCTGAAGAAGATCTCAGACTACATGAAGAGCAGTCGCTTCCTCCCAAGACCCGTGTTCTTAAAGATCGCCATCTGGGGCAACAAGTAGGGCCTTGGCGGGGTGGGATTTAGGATTGAGATGCCAGATGTCCTTGGTTTGCAGGGAGCCCTGCGGAGCAGCCAGGACCTCTGCAGCCCCAGAGCCACCGTTTCCTTCTCCCTTCTTTTCCATCCTGTCCAGACCCCAAGTCTCACCAGCTCTCTTTTTAGGCTCATTCAGTGCCTGCCCAACATAGGTGCAACTATGCCCAGCAACTCCTTTCCGTGATCCAGGTACCCTTCTGCACTGCAGTGCCCTCTACAGGCTCCAAGGTACCCTTCTACACTGCAGTGCCCTCTACAGGCTCCAAGGTACCCTTCTGCACTACAGTACCCCCTACAGGCTCCAAGGTACCCTTCTGCACTGCAGTGCCCCTTACAGGCTCCAAGGTAACCTTCTATACTGCAGTGCCCCCTACAGGCTCCAAGGTACCCTTCTGCACTGCAGTGCCCC